GTCAGCAACGAGAGAAGCAGCTTCAAGCACAAGCAAAGGATCCCCAAAAGAAGGTCGACTCTGTCCAAGAGATTGAAGAGAAGCTACAGCGAGTAAAACCTATCCAGGCTCACGAAATTATCCACGTGATTGGTCTCCTCGTTGCTCGAACCCTTTGTTCTCATACGGATGGCCTGGAAAAACACTGGTCTACTCGAGAAGATGGCGCAGTCTCTCGTGGAACGTTCTCCAGGTTTATGAAGAGAGACAGATTCAAGATGATCACTCGTTACCTGCATTTTGCTAGTAACAACGCTGCAGATGCGTCTAAGGACAAGGCATGGAAAGTCAGACCGGTACTGCAGGTACTCGAGAAAACATTTCGGCGTGGCTACCGGTTGGGGCCGCGAATCAGTTTTGACGAAGGCACCATTCCAAACAGGAGCAAGTTCAATCCGGTGCGCGTCTACAACAAGGACAAACCGCACAAGTACGGGACTAAGGTTTACATGACGTGTTGCGCGGAGACTGGCTACTGTTCTCGGTACGTTGATACAGAATTGCTAGTAGTATCAGTAGTATCGGGGTGTTTCTCAGTATCATACAGATTGCCAATTCCTCTTTTCACAGAATACGAGTGAAGTCACTTACAATATGCTGTATCTTCTTCTGTATGCTACAGAATTGAAGTTTATCTCGGCGCGGCTAACAATCCAGCGGCAGCAAAGGGAACGGCACAGAAGGCAGTTATACGAAACGTGAACAAAGCCCTCGAAGGACAACCCGCAAAGCGACTTGTTGTCGCTGACAACTTCTACAGCTCGTGTGCACTGGTACTGGATTTACCTCGGAGGGGTTACTACTACGTGGGAACGCACCGCAACGACAGATTGGGATGGCCAGTCAACTTTGCGTTCACACAGAAAACGCGGCCCAAGCGTATGCCCCGAGGGACGTATCGCGTCGCTCAAGCCAAAGACATCCCTGAGCTCATTGCTGTGTCCTGGAAGGACTCGAAACCTGTGTCTATGATTGCGACTGGATGTGCAACGACGATGACTAGTGTGAGACGCCGAGTGAAGGGTGAGAGTGTTCGTGCAGACGTACCATGTCCCCAGCTGGTTGCCGATTATCATGCTGGTATGGGGGGTGTCGACCAGCACGACCAGCTGCGACTGCAGCGATATTCGATACAGCGATGTGTGGCTTTCAAAAATATTACCGCCAGTTATTCTTGGGGTTTGTTGACATGGCGATTGTCAATGGGTTCATCCTGCACAAACTCATCTTGAAGACAAAGGGAGAACGCATACCGACGCACGCAAAGTACATGCGAAGACTGCAAACGGAGCTTTTAGCAACAACAGAAGCCACATTGCGTGCAAACACCAACGCAGAGGATTTGATTACGGAGCCAATTCGAACGCAGCCACACGCCCTGCAGAATACGAACGACATGTATGATGGAAATGGGAAGAACAAACGTCGTCAGCACCTTTGCAAGGTATACTCGGCAATGGCGACGCCCCAAATGAAAAGCTTTGAAAGCAGCTACTTCTGCCCCCAGTGCACTCAATCCCACGCCGGCTACGTACCTCTATGTAATCGCGTTCGGAGAGAGGATAGCGGCAACACGCTCACGTGCAGCCAGATTTGGCACCAGGTCTGGCGAAACGGAACTGCGATTCCAGCACACCTGAAGAAGCACATACGCTTTCGCAAGCGTAAGCGCGCTGACGAAGAGAAAGAAGACAGTAGTTAGCTAGTTAGTAGTCAAATCAATAGACTGTTCGCTCACCAAACTTTTCGGCCAGTTCAAGCCTAGTTCTTCTTCTACTCTTGCTAGTCTAGAACTGGCCGAAAATTTGGTGAGCGAACTTCTGCCGCGTAGCGATGAAGCTCCGGCGGCCATCCAAAATGGCGCGAAGCCGCCAATCTCACTTATCGTTTTGGAGAGGAAATACCTTACAGAAGACATTGCGATCTTTTTTTATTCTGCAGTAGCCAATCAAAACCCCAGATAATAGCGTATGGTGGATACATTGCGAAGTTTTTGTCCGTAGAAACGATGTCTTTGCACTTTTTCGCAGTGTCCACCTCACATGATTCGCGAGACAGCTACCATTAGATAAATTGTTGCATTCTTCTATCAATAGTTTAATCAAGATAAACCTTTATTCTGTATAATACAGAATAAAACCCCGCTTTAAAAGGGTTAAGGCTCATAGGGGCTCAGCGCTTTTTTTAATATTTATCCTGCCGAAGCGTAGCGGAGGCGGGAAGGTAAAACTAAACCTAAACTACCACCGCGTAGCGGCGGCACTCGGCTAGTAAATACCCGTTTTATCTGGCCACATTTTGATGACCGGAAGGTCGGACTCCGACCCGGAGCAATAAAAAGCAGTCTGTCCCAGGCTGGGGCCCAGCCGTATGGTGGCTCGAAAGGTGCCGCACTTAGTCGGCGTTGTTCTATCACCAATGGTGATAGAACAACTGGGCACTGGTTGCTTGCGCTGACCATAAGTGAACTTACCTCGAGATAAGCTATCAATCGGAAGAACAAGAAATCATGGGCAATAAGAGCAGTCGAGTGAGCCCTCCGCTGCATGCGACGCACGCCTCCTAAACCGATAACCCAAACTACGGTACGCTGTACTGTAAGACCAAACCCATCATTCCCCCCCCCGCACCCTCCACGCTGTACGGAAAGAAACCAAAACCAAGGCGCAGACAGCACCCACTCCAACGTCGCTGTACTCTAAGCCGTCAGCAGCCTCAAGGCCCGCACCGACACCGAGTTTGCTTTACTCGAAGAAGTCCAAGGTGTCGCTGAAGCGTGGCTCGCCACGACCGTCCATTTCGCGATGGTTTCATTATCTGGCGCATCGTTTGGACAGCCGTCACCTTTTGCAATGTCGGAGGCATCTGCCAGCTCCACGCATTCAAGGTCGACCGTGGTAGTTAAAGGCTCATTACAGACGCCTATGACTTCGTGTGGTAAGTGCCGGATGCCGTTTGGAAACTCGTCGGCCGCCTTCTGCCGGGATTGTGGCCACCAGCGACCATCGGGAAGTACCCCCGTCGCAACAGCACCGCTGGTGAGCGAGGGACTCAACTTGCTCGAAAAGCATGCCGTTGTCATCATCATTAAAGTGTTATTGAGTCAATACAAATAAAGATGCACATCGGAATAACGTTACAGTGGTAAAGTGGCCTAATTAGATGGAAATTCCATGCTGCATATGATTATCAAAAGGTCAATTCAAAACCCATTTAAAACGGTTTTACTGAATGTCAGGGCATTAATTTTTCTCAGGTATGAAGATGTGCTTCCTGCCGCCGACACTGAGTAAAGGATCTTACCGGTATACGTGCCCGTGTAGGCGAGAACACGTCAGCTGGCAGAAAGGTCGAGTAGTCTCACGTTTTCGATGAAGTTCCTAAATATCCCAAGCGGGATATGATCGTCAACCGTACTTCAGTACAACTTTAGGATCATTGCTGCTTTTCGGACAAACAAAATCCACCACGCAAGATGTAGTAAGTAACAAGTTACTGTGAATTTCGCACAAACTTGAATATTCTGAGCGGTAAAGCGGACCTTTCTCTAAGCCCCCAATTACAAAAAATCAAGCCACAAACCAATCGCACCTCTTGCTAAAACATCTACTGCTTGACATGTCGCTTAGCCAAAACCCGTACACTTAGAAAGGTTTCAAAGTCAAACAAGTGCCTGCGCATTTTTTGGTGGAGATTTGGCTTGAACCAACCACGCAATGCAATCTGGCACAATACGTATTCTGATGGCGAATGGCCTACTTAGCTTAGTAGAAAGCTAAATAGCACGTATGGGCACAAACTTTAGTCCCTGTCAGAATAATGGGCGCAAGTTGACGAAAAAATGATGATAAATTTCCGAGCTTATTCGGGCACAGCACGACTTTAAAAACGGTTGCTGGAATACGACATTTGGGCATACACGTTATTAAACTTACAGCTCACTAAAATTTGTTTTGGGTGCCTTCCAAATGGATCGGTGATCTATCTAGCGATTCCATACCCATTAGTGAGATAAAATCTATTATGTTGTGAAGCTCACTTTTTTTCCTGTAGTGAGGCATCTCCTTAACAGACGCAGCATCTGCCTTGCTGAATCAACCCTTCCGTTTACTACAGTAGAGAACTATAGTTTGAGAGAGAAGCTGGCCTTTATTTGATTTAATTTTTATTTTCTATATATAGAGAACTATGTATCGATTCTAGCGTTGGAAAAGGGAGTTTACAAACCAAAAATAGATCTCCGTGTAAATAATTTGAGATGCTTCAATACTTAACTCCAGTGGAGCTGGGTCCAAGGAGGAGCAATGCTTCGTAACCCTCGATTAGATAACCCTCGGATAGCTTCAGAAATTACAGCTCTCGAGTAACCGAATACAAGTTATAGTGCGCGCCGTAAATACATGTATGTGCGCACACCTAAATAGGCATTTTCAGCTCTGAACACCCACATAAAACGGTTTAATCAGTAATTTCAGTATTTTTTTACAATTCCATTAAATGCGCTGTTGCTGGAACGCGACTTTCGGGCATATTGTTGTGAAGTCCAGTCATGTGCTGCTACTTGAAAGTCGGATTAGACTTGTTTGATGGTACCAAAAAGTGGCATCACCAAACAATTCATCGTGATTAACCCTTCTAGCCCGGTATTCTGTATCCTACAGAATAAAAGATTTTGCAGGATTTAGTATCCAGCTAACTTGGCTGCAGACTATGAATTCGCATATGATGTTTTGAAAAGGGGGGTTGCACATCATTCCTATTGGATTGGCGAAGGGAAGATAGACAGGGATTGTTCTGCGTGAATAGAAAGATGAATATAAATTCAGTGGAGGTTTGAAAATTTGAGTGAAAGCCCAAAACGACCGCGTGTCAACCACTCCCTCATCGCCGCACATTGAAATCTTTCTTCGAACGATGAACACCCCCGGCGAGAAGACGTTCAAGCCGCTGTGGAGAGAATTATGCAAGGACAGGTGAAAGACTCACAAGCACACGCCCATGGCCAAGCATCACCGCTACGTAAGCCTGGAATCACGGGCCGGTTGGACGAGTCACGACGCAGCATCGACTTTTTAAGGGTGCGTAATTAGACCTTGATATATGGTGCTACGTACTAACAGGATACGTAATGTCTAGGTGAAGATGAACTCATGACATTTGGGCGTGCATCCAGCTGCCTCCAGCTTCCCCATTCAAGTGTGAGCATTGCATCTACACGCCGTCCGATCGGAAAGCAGGCTTCAAACGAAGCTATTGGTCGGCAGCTACCATACAGCGATTTACCAGAGGCTACGCAGCCCAAGCCACCTTCTGCGACACCTACGACTACCCACCCCCTGCAGCCTCTCCTGGATATGCGAGAGCTGATGGAGTTGAAGGCACACACGCTTCACGTGTATTCGCTCTCCCCCAACTGTTTCTTTATCACAGCTGGCTTCCAGACCAGAGGTACCGAAATCTTCGGTGGTTGGCGCTCAGAGCAAAATGGGGTGGAGAACGCTGCTGCTCCGGATGATACAGATTGGGATCCCCGAGAGAATACGACAGATGTTGAAGAAGCTAAGAGTGAGAGTGACGACCCTTCTGATTATCGAGTTGATTTTGAGGTGTTTGATAGCAACGACTTCATGGAGGGACTCCGGAGAGATCGGTTGTTTAAACAACCGATCCAGACGATGTGAGCGTGGTTGCTAGTGGGGGTGTTAGCGATGTGGACTCCGATGCGGATGATAAAGACGTAATTGAAGACATTACCGTGGTTTCTGGCGTAGAAGGTGTAGATGACGTTGAAGACATGCCATTGAATGATGACATTCCCGACGAGGGTCTTTTTGATCTGACAAGCGATGATCGGAGAATGGATGGGTTACGTATGATGAAGAGCATAGCGATAAGCCGTATATACAGAATTGTTTGTGTGTCAATCATACTTGTTTCGGAAGGTGGTTTGACGATGTATTTGTAGGAAACCTTAGCGTTGATGCCGCTACCGACTACTACAACGGGCCCTCTGACATTGAGCTGGATGGACTCAAAGCCGGTAATTATGCTCGCTTCAGGCTGCAGCATACATCCTGCCAGTATTTTGCGATTAGGAAAAGATGGCACACGAAGCACGGTGCCCTGCCCACAGCTGGTTGTGGACTACACCCGCGGCATGGGTGGTGTGGACGTCCACGACCAGCTGCGGCTCCAGCACAACAGTATTCAGAAGTGTGTTTTGCTCTGAAAATACAACAATCGGTTGTTCCTGTGCATTATCGACATGGCCGTGGTCCATGGATACATCATTCACTTTCTGACACCTAAGACAAAAGGAGAAAGAACACCTACCCATGCCGAGTACTTGCGCCGTTTACACACGCAGATTCTTGCACTGCAAACAATTAGTTTCGAGACTCATCCCAACGCTGAGGACCTGGTGTCCGTACCTATACAACGCCAGCAGCACACATTAGTGAATAACGACGTCTTCTACTCCTAGTAGCACAAACGCAGGCAGTGCCTTTGCAAAGTTTGCTCCGATTTTGCGAACTCAAACACCAAGTCATTCGAGACCAGCTTTTACTGCTCGCAGTTCAGCGAGGTGTTTGGAGGTCGAGTACCTCTATGCCTACACGTTCGACGCATCGACGGCGGAAACACGCTGATATGCTCGCAAATTTGGCATGACACGTGAAGCGAAGGAAAGAGCATTTCACCTAGCCTGAAGAAGAAGATACGATTTCGTAAGCGTAAGAGAGGGAGCGACGAGGAAGAAGAGTAAGCTTAGAAATGGGTAGTTGTAAAAGCAAGCAAATTTATCTGATCTTACGCGCAGAGAAGAGTTTGCCCTGTTCCTCCTCACTAATCCGTTAGTTAGGAACTGGGCAAATTCTTTCTCTGCGCGCACTTCGTATTCGGTTGGCGCCGAGAATGGATGACTGTTGACGGACTCTTGAGTGTGTCCAGGAGCAGTAACGAAAATGCCAGGTATTGATGGGACGCAGGTATTTGCCGTTCTTTGTACTGCTGTGAACCAATAGAAGCTCGCGATCCTCGCAGATGCTGGATACATTGTGGACATTATGTTCCGTGGCGGAATGTCTTTGTGCTAAATGTGTCCGGTTCTTGGTCAGTAGGAGCGAAGGGGGTTCCAGCAGGATAATTTTGGGAGGTTTCGACTGTATAATTAATTCAAGTATAAATCGTAGGATACAGAATAAAAGCTCGGGCTAGAAGGATTAAAGTCTTAAAGCTCGGAGGTTTTGGTAGACACCTACTGTACATACCTCCATTACTCTAATTAAAAGTTTCATAAAAAACGGCTTATCAGGGTAATCAGTTTAAGCGGAGTTTTTTCAGATTAAACACTTGACATAACTTCTCTAAAAAGCGCTTCTTTTTAAACTGATTTGTAATCTATTTTAAACTTCCTATTAGCTAATTAAATCGTAAATATGGGTTTTGAAAGGCACTTTGGAGGGCACCCATTATTGGGTGTTTTTCAAATCCACGCATCATAAAATTGCGATTTATTTTGCCTTTAAAAGCTACGAATCGTGGACCACGATGGAGGAGTTTCTAGCCGATCTACGGGAGCTTGACGAGACACAGGAGCGCGTTGAGGCTGTGAGCGGCGGTATGATGCGTGCACAGCGCTCAGGCCACATGGCGCAGGCGCGGGAGATGGTGGAGAGCTGGGTCCAGGCACTCCGGGCCAGTGATTTCCAGGCAGAGCGTGTGGCATTCCTATACGTGGCTAATCATGTGCTGCAGAAGACCTTGTTCGGCGAGTCCGAGGGCAACACGGCGCCACTTTTCGTGGAACTATTTAGTCAGCATCTGGAGGAAGCTGTGGCGCTCGTGTGCAACTCCCCTATGGACCGACAGAATGTCACGCGGCTGCTGGAATTGTGGTACGAAAAGAAGATTTTCTCGGACGCTCACGTGCTTAAGATGTGGCGCTGCACAGGTGAGGACATACCGGGATTTTTGGACGATGCAGCTGCTGCAGATGGTGAAGTAAACACCAAGCACAGTAGCATCTCGGGAAACGACGTGGACATGGAGGAGCTGCCGAACAACCATGGCGCAGCGGGTAAGCTTAGCCACGTGCTGCCGATGAAGCTCAACTCACACTCGGCCAACCCGGTGCTGGACGTGCTAAAAAAGATTGATCATCACAAAACGGCGGTGAAGTTCCTGGATCAACAAATCAAACAGAGACATCAATTCTTGCTCAAGAATACTGCAATGAGGTACCAAACGGCGGCAGATCTTGTCGCAGACAGAGGAACAGCGTCCGCTCAAATTAAACAAAGAGCGGAGGATTGCTTGAAACTAGTGAAAGTGCGCAACGTAAGTGGCGGAGGAATTGGGCAATTTGGGGTGTGATGATTAACTATCGGCTTTTTCTGATGTAGAAACTACTTCTTGAAGTGCGGAACTTAAAAACGCAATTATTGGAAGCGGTTGCTAAAATGATGGACTATGAGGTGGAAGATGAATACGTATCTTTTGCAACATGTTGAACTTACTCTCTTTTTGATAACTACAGGAACAGGCCGCGACCAAAATTGAGCAGAAACTGGAGGTATGACAGGGTATTATATTAGATGTGTTTTGTATTGATTTTGTTTGTTTGCAATAATTGTAGCAATGCGATGAGATTGATTTGGGGCTCATGGATGTGACTGATCACCAAAAGAAGTTCTCCGAAGAGGTAAGTACAATGTTGGTGACACGTAAGTGAAATCTGTGGAGCTAATTTGCTTACGCCTAGTGGTCGAGCGCTCGGTTCGCGAGTCGAGAGCGCCGAAAACAACGTGAGGAGATTCAACGCCTAAAGGATGAGGAGATTGCTCGCCTGCATCAGGAAGCGATTGCCGAGAGCGCAATGCACGCCATGAATCTGGAGGCTGACATAAATTCTAATTCGAAGTCAGAGCTGCAGTCTCTGTCCAAGGAGTTTAAGGACCGTCCACAGGAGAAAGATGCCAAGACAGACAACGAAAATGAGCTCGTGTGGAACCCGTACGTGCTTTTATTCTTCGAATGTAAAATGATAATGGAAATATAACAAATCGTTGTGTGCTGGACAGTATTCGGAAAGAGCTGGTACCACTGCGGAGTCTGAATGTGGACTGGGAAGATTGGCGAGATCATTAACAATGCTGTTCTAGGCTGCAGTTACAACTTGCAGCTTGAAATGAAGCAATTATAGCGGCAATTGATGACAAAATTATGCTAAACAAGCCGAGCGGAGCCCCGCAAGCGGGGCTTTTTGGTCTAGTTTAAGCCGAGCAGGAGTGTTCGCCTTTTGGTGGGCATGCTTTCGTTAACTTTTGAACATCCTGATTTGAAACACATAATCGAGATTTGATTTTTGAAATAATCGCACCGCAAAAATCCTACTTCGAAGTACATCACTACAGTCACACATCTCTTTGTAAGTGACCATTGCTCTTTATTTGACTACCACAGTCCCCAACCAAAATGATTGCTGTGTATGAGTTTCACTCTTTAACTGACCAAATCCCTCTCTTTAAATGATAGCTCTGGCTGTTCTATCAGTCATGTAGGTTTTATTTTAATAGGATTCCAAATGGATAGCTGTTCGAGAGCACTCGAGTGCTCACGTATTTTTCTCTTCAATGTGAAAGGGATACAGAGCATGAATAAGCAATGTTAAAGTCATTGACGACGTTTAGTGAGAACTCAGGTCATACAGGCGCAAACGTCGTTAGCCGAAAATTTGTGAAAAGTACCAAGCAAAAGCTTGGCGACGACTGAAAAATATCACAGCATCTAGCTAACGCCCTCGGCATTTATGCGGTCTGCTTGTCCCCATCTCTCTTATCCTTGTTGAGTTCCGCCAAACGAATTTGCTGGCTAACAGGTTTCGCTGGCTGGTTCAGTGGCTCAACGACGGGTTCTTCTTGCAAGTTGGTGGCATCAATAGCGGCACCGGCACCACTTTCCGGGTCACGGGCGAAAATCGAAGCCGCCTGGAACGCTTCGATCATGGCTGGTTGCTGGTAGACACCATCCAAGAAATCAAATGAGTCATCCTTACGCTCCTCGTCAACGTCACAGCACTGGTCTAGCGGTAGGTTCTCAGCAGCACGCTTGAGGTGGGATAGATCGACAGCATACCAGTGGAAGATAAGCGTGATGAAGGGTAGCAATCCCGTGAGCACGATTGGGCCGTATCCAGCCGACTTCAACGATAGCAATCCAATGAGCGTGCACTGGCCAATGATGAGTGCACCGATCACGAACGAATACAGCGGTGGCCAAAAGACCCCCATCGAGTTAGTCGTTGCCCAACGTGTGCTGTTGACAAAGAAGAAGCAACGCTTGTACGATTGCTCGGACACCACAAAGAACATCGCACCAAAGTACCCCACAAGTGGCGCAATGGGGGCAAACACCACAACGAACAAGAACACTAGATATTGCTGGGCCAAATTCATCGGGGTGTCAAGATCGGTCTGGTAGTTGACGGGGCATAACCCCATCCAGTCTCGAGGCTTCGGCAGTTTCGCATGCATTGGGGCCAAGAAATGATACGCAGTCGAAATGGCCACGGGCGATACACGCAGCAGGAATAGCGACATGTCGACACAGAACTGTGTGATGATGAAAGTGATGAACATCATGGACTGGTTTGCGATAGTGTTACCCAGAAAGAAGAAAAGCATGCGCGGCTGATCCAAGAAAAACATGAACTCTGTGATGATGGATCCCGCAAGTGCCGACACGAAGAACATCTGGAAGGCTTGGAAAAAGCACAATTTGGTGAAGCGACTGGCTTCAACCTCCGAGATGGACAAATGTCCCTCTAGGGTGGATAGAAGCTTAAAAATCACATTCGCTAGCCCATTCATTGCCGAATAGACCAGCGGTGCCGTCTGCTGGAGAGCAACTAATAGCCATGGATTTTTTTCGAGAAAGCCACCAAGCCACGGGAACATATGCTGGAGCTCGTCGACACTAGCCATTGAAGCGACAAAAGCCGTCGGCACAGTCCAGAAGCATCCAATCAATAGAGAAACACCCATAGAAATAAGTTTCCACTTTGCTTTGAGCTTGTGCGGCAGACCAAAGTTCTTCCATTGGACATCACGAATGTTAGGTGCAGGCAGGACAACCATACGGCGCGGGTTCTCAACCTGAAGCAGTTGCTGTGCTGCCTGCGCAGATCGAATACTGCGAAAGCTCACAAACGCGCAGCTACGCATGACATTGGGACGCTTCGGTACGGGCACGCTGACGTGAAGCAACGGCAGAGTCTCTTCACCCCATCTACTATCACCCATTAAAGTTTTCGTCCTCCGCAGCTTCTCGACCAGCTCACTCAGACCAGAAAGACCCCGCGGCGCAGCGATACTTGCCGATCCGTAGTCCTTATTACTGGTGACTTCCTTGGCCTTCTCTGCTGACTGGCGCTGCAGAATCTCGTCCCGAACGCGGGCGATCTCGGCTTCAAGCTTCTGCATCTCCTCGGTGTAGTGCTCAACAGCATCGACCTCCTTGCCACCACCACAGAGCCCGAAGAAACGAAGGCCAATCAACTCTTTCGGTCGCTTGATCAAATCATGGTCTCCGGCCTTGGTCTTTGCCTCATTTAGTTTGACACTCGCAGCATAAAGGTGGTACACGAGTTCCTGACGTTTGTCCAAAAGTTCTTCCAGCTCCGCACACTCTACGCCAATGTAGACCGAGTGCACTGAGTTGGGGAACAGGAAGTCCAGGTACGCCTGCAACGTCTGCGGTCGACGTTGTGACTGAGGGAGATCCGAGATGACAATGCTGTACTGCTGCGGGTGTTTGCGCATGAGGAACTCATGACGACGCTTGCGGTAGATCGTGTATTCATTCAGCAGCAATCGCATTACGTAAATGCTGATCATGTAGGAAACTAGCACCGTAAAGAAGAGTCTCCAGTCGTCTTTACCAACATTGGCAATAGTGAGTCTGTCCACAACGTCCAGCTTTACTTTGCCGTCCGAGGACAGGATGTTGGCTGTGCCATTTCCAGTTTCTATTTGCTCGTTTAGCATGATCATCATCATAGAAGTGATGGCAGCGACAGAATCATTAGTTTCCCTCCCTCGCGAAGGTAACAGGTCACTCAAATGGCGACGCTGCTTCTCCTGCTCCTTGAACACCGCCGACGTGAAGAAATACATGGGGAACAGAGCGAGCGAGCACATGACGCACAACAGCGCCACCTTGCGCCCCATCTTCATAAAGCGCAGAAGTACCCAGGCGTCCAGGCCGCATTTTTCAGCCACCTGGGCCTCGTCGATGCGCCACAGGAAGGGCACCCAGCCGAGGAACTTACGCTGCTTGGACTCGGGGAAGTCAGCGTGGTTTTCGGGCGAGTACACATGTGGCAAACGAGGGCGTAGTGTCTCGTACAGGAGAACTAGGACCAGAAAGAGCGGGAAATAGACGACCACGCTCGTTAGCAGCACGTTGGCAGCCGCCTGCGTTTTCACCTGCTCCGTGTTAATGTGCATGCCGCCTAAAGTGATTCCCAAACCTTGGAGTCTTAGCGAATGACAGATTAGTAAGCCCAACTTGTAAATCAGGCGGGATCATCATCGCAGCGTTTTGATTTAGTAAACATGATTTTTTTAAACTGACTTACAAATCAGTTATCCTGGGTGACGCCCTACCGGGAAGCTTGGGAGCATTGCTCGCTCAACGCTTTCGGCAGGCGCTTAACCGCGCCTGCCAGCATTTCATGGACCTCTCTCTATTTAAACTAACCCCCGACTTAACCGCGCCTGCCAGCATTTCATGGACCTCTCTCTATTTAAACTAACGCCCGACTTGTGTACGCGCCATCTCCACCGACACTTCCGCGCCCACGCAGCGCCATCTTCGGTTAGGTACGTTTAATGTTAACTCCACAGCGCATGTACCGGGGTACGCAGCCCTAAGTGTACCCCTAATTACATGAAGTGTGACACGTCACACTTCAGACGTATGATTCGGGATATTTGGTACAAGGTACCAAGGTCGTCCGAGGCCAGCCATTGGCTGATGACATCGCTTTTCTGTACAAGTAGGTGACTTTTAGTTTGTTTATCGCTCCGCTTCTAACCTTGTAGCGTGTCTGTCCGTCCGTCCGTCCGTCCGTCTGTCAATCAGTCCGTCCGGTTCCTTTCTTGCTGCTTTTTCCTGCCTTTTCGCATGGCTACACTTGGCCTGTCTAATACATTTACGTCCCTTCTTACCGACCGCGCCTACCTTTCTGACTCGACCTAACTATGCCAAAATTACAAATATATCCAAAAGCGTGACACAATTAACTCGCGCCCTGATTGGGCAATACCGACCGACCTGCGACACTGACTGGATCTGTCGCACGATCAGACCGTCTATCGCCCTCGCGATTGGACGTGATGTAAACATTTCTGCCGAGCACGAAACGCATCGATTGGTTGCAAACAGCCAGCAGATACTTGATTATTGCATTCAGCAGCGCAAAACCTGTCCTATGTATTGCAAATCGGGCACAGTAACCACTTTAATTTCTAAGAGCTCTACACACTTCTCAAATAGAGATATTTATCATTATTAATGTAGACTTCACAGACCAGTATTTTGTAAGAGCTCTGGGATGTTATTTTCCAAGCACTTTTTCAAAGTAAAGACGATATCAATAGTATTAATATTATTAATATAAGCTTCACAGGCCGCATTTATTTTCCACAGACTTTCTAAAGTAGAGACGATAGTATTTTTTAATATTAAAGTAGGCTTCACGACCAGCGCTTTGTGTAGGGACTTTGCGAATATATATCTTTTTAACTTCACCTGGCACTCACCACTGCCACCGTGCAAAGAAGGCGCGCGGCTGCACGGTCATTGCGCTATCTTCTCCCGCGCACCACACCCGATGAATGCATGCGCGCACGATACATAGTCTTTTAGTCACTTTTATTGCATGTAAAGTATGTATTTGTTTGTAAATCTGATAAAAATATATTAAAGATAAGCCAAATATTAATAATATAAAACATTTTACTATTTTGCTTAATAATAAATATCAGCCTTTTATTACCGTGCTATTGGCTAATATTTGGACGAAAGTAATTGGTTAAAACAATATATTTTGCTAACATACTCACAGTTTGCAAAATGGTGGGCCCTACGTGCAAGCAATGTGAGGCGAAGATTGACCCGCTTCTGCTGAACCCGCAGCGGTCTACGACGGATACCCGGGCGCGTTGCGTCAGTTGCGGGAAGCTACAGTATGGTTACGCGCTCCGTACAATCAGCGGGCGGGGCATCGTGCGGCGCTGTATTGCCTGCGAGAACGGCCCAAAAGCGGTTGAGCTCTGGGAGGAAAAGCCCCCACCACCTGAGTCGGCCGAAGTGCGCCGCCAGGAAAGCCTGGCGAGCGCTAAGAAGGCGATGGGTCCTGACAGGTACCCCAAGAAAAAAAAGAGGCGCAGCCGCCTTCGCAAGCTATCCGCCCGAAACGTCAAGTACATCGAGCAAAAGAAGCAGCAGAAGAGAAAGTAATTGGTAAATATACCCTTTTAGGCCCCCATTTTCTTACCTATTTGTGTATTTAGTATACCCGACTACAGTGCGAGGGTTGGAGCCGCACATACGGCAAGCTGCCTTTGGCACTGCCAAACGTTTTGACGCACCTACAGAGCGTAGCACGTTTCATTTAATAATTAACACGTGCTATCAACTGTGTACCGCTGCAAACTGACCGTCCCTATCCACATAGGCGCCACCGTAGATGAAAAGTACACTCGCTCACTTGGACACACGCAAATCCGTGCTACGTGTACCATCAACGCTTACGGTGTATATTCCAGTAATGTGCGCTCATAAATTAAACTACAGTATGGAGTGAGCTCTACGCGCGACGAATAATTTGCTGTCTACACAGACACGAGCATGTGTGCGGTAATGCAGATCATACAAGTGGATGTGGCAAGTTGATGTGTCTGTACGCAGTACCGTACTTTAGTGCCCTGCTCAAATTGGTCGGGATCAGAGCTGGGGATGGTTATACGTGTACCCGCCGCGCGGTCATCTATCATGTATCTCTGCGGTATGGCATGTGCCGAGTTAGTAACGCGCCTGGTCATATAGACTGGTACATCAGAAACGTAAGCACAGTAAGCCAGCACGACGACGCAAATGTACCAAGAGAGCGACAGTGACCCTATACATAGGTTTTGGCTCTCACGAGCGCGTGGTATACACACTCATTAGCGACCTTGCGATATATGCACGGACATATCAAATAGCACGCCGAGTTGATAAGTAGGCAGCAAATGTACTTCATAAAATGTACAGTACATGAGCTACATTTCAGATTAAGTCAAAACACCACTACAATTTGATACTCTGTCTACAGCCATGTGGCTTTGTGTGTTTGGCATACATTTAGGAACCAGTAAATGCCAGTCGGGAAGGACCTACGCCACTCTGTCGGCCCGTATTTATGTACATACGTCAGTAAGTGCGTCAGCTATGCAAGTATGATCAATGCATGCGAAAGATAGTGGAAAGGCCCTTCATTAAAATCATAAAGAGCTCAGCGGGACAATTTCAAGACATAATATTGATGTTTATGGCGACCATCAGCAAATACTACCTGTCCTAAAAGATACTTCGCGCGAGCAGATGACCAAATAGATCGTCGCAATCGATGATATGGTGTCGACTGCCTCACTGCGATGACGTGCAGATGGTAATATGTTTGAGTAGGCGTATTTACTCCAGCTAAACTGGGATTCCTCACCGGTCTATGCCAATGTGGATCATCACTGATACTGACATGTCTTCTGAACAGCATTTGTTAGCTTTGTAGCCACGAATGCCTCCGATTCGTGTCATTTTGGGAGCTATGCGCTCAAACGAGATTATAGACAAAACCTTCCCGGGTAAGATGGTGCTCTTCTTGCAGATCACGTTAAACCCTGGTCGTGTCTACCATAACATGTGAGCACTAAGGATACTGTGTGCGGTGTTGTTTTGGAACGTACAGTAATATACGTAGATCACAGTATACATGTACGATATGTTGCTTCGCTTTGAGTAGAAATTCTAAGCCCACCGCAGCGCAGCGGAGGTAGTCGGCCCTCTCTACACCAACCAACCATGCCCTAGCGTCCGCGGAGCGGACGCCCAGACCGCTAGTTTCCCGCCACCTAAACTTGCAGCCTGTCCGTCCGTCTGTCAATAAGTCCGTCCGGTTCCTTTCTTGCTGCTTTTTCCTGCCTTTTCGCATGGCTACACCCGGCCTGTCTAATATATTTTCGTCCCATCTTACCGACCGCGCCTACTTTTCTGACTCGACTTAACTATGCCAAAATTACAAATATATCCAAAAGCGTGACGCAATTAACTCGCGCCCTGATTGGGCAATATTTTTCGACTCACTTTTCATTCAAAACACAAAATTGGATTTTTGAGCGACGGCGCGGAGAGGACAAGGTGCGCTGGCTGTATAATAGCAGTAGGGTAGTTGTAGATGTATATGCATGTATGTACGGGCGTGGGGCTCCTTGCCCTACTATATATTCAAGAGAGACCTCTCAGGATACAGTCTGAGGCTTGCCCCGAGACTCCAAAGTGGTATGGCAGTTGGTAGCGATCGCAATCAGGTTGGGGTGGGTGTGACTGGGAGCGTCTACCACCATGCACGCGCCTAGGGGTCCTAGACCCACCGCGAGTGTCCACGCTCCAAAAGCGAGTGGCGCGTGCTGCCAATTGGCCAAACCGAAGTTGCAGCCACATGCGGAAGAGTCGTTACAGTTCCGCAATACAGAGGTGCTCTTAAAGTGTGAGCTCCCACATCAAAACACACTTTGCGAGAGCACTTCTGGCGGGACGGAAAGGAATGCAGCAGTCGGTCTCACAAGAGCAAGGAGCCCAAGACCAAGTGCAAGGACAGCTCAAGAACAAGAGATCAAGACAAAAAAACACTTTAAGAGCGTGGGTGAGCCCCGCGCCTGTACACTTAAATAGCATAACATCAGAATAGACAGTTGTAGAGCATTTTCGGAACTGTGGGGGCCTCGTGAGGGGCTGGGTCGTTCTCGGACACCCTGCGCATACTACTGACATGACCTGAAGGGCTGGACGGTATCGAACAGACCTGGGCAACCACTCAACAGGGATGAGGCAACAGCTTTGACGTACCCAAGAGGCAACAGCGCGATGCGGCGTCTGAATTACCATGTACAGCTGCTTGGTCCACAGCCGTGCAAGGTAATTTGGACCCGTCGGACCGTGAGCTGAGGGCTGTAACACGTCGGCCAAGGGGAGGGCCTAAGCAAAAGCTGACTGGACCAACAAGCCGCCTGGAGTGACGATACCCCTAAGTTGTTTGTAATCCGAGGAGCCGGGATGGAAATGACAGTGGTGTGCTATATTCACAGAGGGCTTCTGGATTAGTACTGGAAAGGAAAGTTCGGGGCTCTATTCGAATACCACGTTGCTTAAGCTATGGTGTCCATGCTCTGGTGCTTATATTCATGAAATAGCTGTAGAATAGCTC